CTAGAACACCCATGATTTGCTGGAGAACCTGGGCTGACCTGTCGACAAGCAGCAGTAATTCGCCTGCATTTTAGACAATGTGATCTTTTGTGCCAACCATCGGACAGGATATACGTGGGCAGCCTCTTCAGTGAAACTTAAAGTTAGTCACTCATCACAGCATAACTTTGCCAGATGTATCCGTCGTTTGCACAAATGACAGTATTAATTTTTTTCAGATGGTCTCTAATAGCCTAATGTAAGAAAGCTTTATAAAAACCAAAGCTCCTCAATGGCTATGCTGGTTAGACTACAGTTGAAAACAAGATTACAAATCCTGTCCCCTTTAAAAGTGAGAGGGGAAGGTAGAGAAATGGACACGGAAATAGAGTCTAATCCTTTCATTGACATCTTTTAGCCACAACAATCCCTAAATTTATTGAAAGTCATAGAGTTCACGACCAGTTGAGGCGAGGAATGCAGTTTCTCCTCTCCATAGGAAAAACCAAAAACCAAAACCAAAATAACAACAACAACAAATCACAAAAATTGGGCAGCATTTTCAAACACACGTTGCTGCCGATGACCATGATTCCTTGCGGCTAATGCTAACACTTGTCGGTTTGGAACAAAGCATACTGCAGAAGCTGCTGAGTAAGAAGGGCACTGCTCTGGTTCTCCGCCTGTCGAAGCTGCCCACCTAGACCAACTGCTAAACACGGCCTAGTCTGCTCTGTGATAGCATTGTTTTCAGGTCGGCATTCCCTTGTGTGATAAGGCTAGTCTCCTTGCCAGTGCACTCTCTAAACGAGGTCTCTGACACTGTGTGGGATGTCAGCTGTGAAATATGTAGCCCAACTTGCAGCGTTAAAAGACAACAGGTAATAATGCTCTTATACCGTAGCTCGGTCATTTCTAATACAAACATGTGGAACTAAAACAAACACCCCAGAAATAATGTGTTCTCTCTCCCCATACAAAGGAGAAAACAAAAGTATTCATTTTATTCATGTTACTTGGAGTTATACTAGACTCCAGACTCTTTCAAAAGCCAAACCCAGATAAAGAAAAACATTACATCGAATGTAGTAAACTGATGCATGCCAAAGCAGATGTGGTCAATGCCCTTTGGGAACATATAACGAAGTCAGGAGAGAAACAAGATTATTATGGCCTAGAGAGACTGATGCAGATGGGTGTAACTATAGGGTCTGGCCGGCTCACTACACTCAGAGAAGGACAAGACGAAAAGCTAACCAGATTACAACCGGTACCATTATCAATGAAACTTTGCGCTGGCTGCTGAAGATGGGGACAGAATGCGTAGGGAAATGCCGCGAGTGTTCTGATGTCCATTCTTGACTCACCAATTCAACTAGACTCAACTTCCATTGACTGTATACCAGTTTGAGTTCTGGGGCCCCATTGAAAAGAAGGGGGTGGGGGGCAAAAATAGACCTATTGCCCCCTAACAAGCATACTTTAGGAGACTAGCTTGAGGTGTTCCCTTTGATGTCGGAGTGTATTTCCTTGAGAGCCGGGCAAACAATCGTCTGCTTACGAATAAGGCAGATAAGTAAACACAAGGAAAACTCATGTCCTGGAACAGAGCCCAAGTCCATAAAAAGAGGAAGAGCCAGGACTTTCCGGTGGTATTAAAACAGGGGCATGATATCAAACAACAGCAAGTACTGGCTTTGAGCAGCAAAAGTCAATTAAGATAAATATTCTCTTGACACACATTGGATTTTGTAGATTATTCGACATCTACAATTATGGATGGAAAAGGAAATGAACAATAAAAACTAATAAGAACATGTATAAACCATCCTCAAGAAGATTGTTAAACAACTTGCTAATATAATTTAATACAATAATGTACACAATACTTTAGCACCTGTGTTTATAAATGGGTTGAGTACAGCCACAAGGGAAGGAAGTTTGTGACTTTACTGACTTTACCTTGACATTAATGTCAACATAGACACACACAGAACAGCGGCATGGGACCCTTACCGAAATGTTAACCCAAAGGCAGTATTATTGCTTTCATCTGTGCAGACTTTCGATAGTTTAACAAAATAAAAATACTATAACATTCAGAGACCTGAAACTCAGTGGTAATGTATCTCATGTTCCAAACTGGATAACATCATCCATGCTATAAAATCAACACCAGAATGCTCTTCTTAAAGACATAGCTAGTCCAGCAGAGGTTTCTAATCCATGGTTATGTGTAAGATTTATGGAAAGGAAGATAAGCTTACGAAAGCAATGTACGAAACCTGAAGCGGCCATATCTGTCTCATATCTGTGAAATACCGCAGCCAAAGCTAAAACAGTCTATGAATTTGAATTGGAGAGAGGATGACAACAATTACATAGCAGAGCATGTTATACGATGTAGGAAGAAAGACATAAAAATAACAGGCATGGCACGAATCTGTTGGTTCGATTACATAAAGAACATTTCACGACAAGGAACAGACTCTTTAACGTTGTGATCACGGGCAAGATTGGTAGAAAGTGGGGGAAGTGAAGAGATGGATGCCTTGATCACTTGACATTATGAATGAAGCAGAATAGGAGCATTGACCTTATCAGTGATTCTTCTGATGACGTAGGATGGGGATCATGACAGCCATTGCTTACAGAATGATGGGGAGAGATTGGGGGGAGGGGGGATGGGGTGGGGGAGATGGGGTTAAGAAACTATATCATTGAATATGGGGTGGTAGGTGTCGCGTGCGAATGTGCACCAGAACGCACCAGTACGGAGTGAGCAAATAAGACGTCAAAACAATACGTAACGTTGTTATGATTTATTGTTGTCAAAGCAGTTGATGTTTATAGTCCGAAGGAGACGGACGTGGGAATCCTTGAGGACGCTTTACCCCGGGATCCCACGGAAGCAAACGTTATTAAAGTTGGATCCTTGAGGACGTTTTACCCCGGGACTCCAAGACCTCAGCAGGAAGCTGGTGAGCACTACATTCTCGGCAGCAAGCCGGTATACTTTCATTGCTTAATTCGGACTTGTTCGAGGACCAAGATGATTGTCATGATCTCAAGGTCGGACTGCGACCTATCGTAAGGACATATCCATCCATGGATGTACGAGTGAGCTTTGGTTGAACGAGTTGATTATTGATTGCATACGTATTCTTGTGTTGATCATTGCTGATTGTATATATCAATACAACCATTGGAACTTAACGCATAGCGTTCGAACTCTACCTTTTGAAAGCATTGAAGTAACTACTGTTTTACCCCTACTTGGCCTATTTCATCTTGGTACCACACACATCAGCTTGAAGCGCCTCAGCACGTCACAATGAAGGACCGCACGTATCAGTAGGCCAACATAAAAACTTTGGGATCCCATGCTTTAAACCATATGTGTCTAAGTTACACGGTATGTGTCTGTATATTGTACTCTAGTGTATATGTTTCTGTATTGTCTATTTGTATATGTTACTTTTTAGTGTGTAAGTTTGTATGTCTGCATAACGGTATATATCTGCTCTCACTCCCTTTAATTAGGCTGAATGCCAAAGAAAAAAAGAAGAAAACAAATCGATAAATCTGATCCCATATTTCTTTGAATCTCACAAGGTGCTTGCGAGAATATATTTTACGTGTTTTTTACCCAGTGTCATTACACGGATGTGGGACGGCTGCCTCAGAAACATTCAGTTTTTATGGGCTGCAGTTAATGAGCTTTCACATACATGTCTTCATTGTGACGGTTTGCACCGTCCGGTCCTAAGAGGACATATGTCTCCCAGATCTAGAGGCTAGAGGAAGCTGAAGGCCACTGAATAAAGACAGTTAACAACGGAACTGATTGACACAGATATAGGGCATGCTAGAGAGTGGTTGAAGATTACGGTCATTGATTTAGGCTTATAGCATGATAGGTTATAATCTACGAAACAACGT